AACCGAGGTGAGTGCGAGAGAGAGAGAGAGAGAGAGACACACACAGGAGAAAAAAAAGTCCATTTGAATTGAACAAATATACCGGTGGAAAGCAATGTTAACTACTACACGGCAATAGATGGACATCCTGCTGCTATCCTCAGATGTACTGAGCTGTTCAAAACAAACTATATTTAAAGCTTTTGAAGTCCCTTAAGGTGCTAATTCTGTCTGCTATGCTCACAACTGGACTCCACACACTTCTGAAGCGAACTACATAATCCATTTTACTTGTTTCCCATACCTATCCAAGAGAAAATTAAGGTTAAACTATGGGCTTACTCAAAGCGTCAAAAACTGAGTTCATTAAGTATGACACACTTTTTTTATTTTTAGCGTCCTGTAGGCATTTTCTTTTACAAAATGACCACCTACCTACTTTTATCCCCTCCTCCTCTAGTCCTCGATCCCTTTAGAAATCTACTTTGATAGTGTCAACAAACCTCTTCAGCTCCTATTGTATCATTGTAATTCAAAGCTTAAGAAATTTACTGCACAGAGGAGCTCAAAAGCCTTTGCTTTTCTAAGGAATACACCCACCTTGCATCCGAGGGGCCGATTAGCAGTCACTGTATGGATATGTTAAGAGGATCCAAATTAGAGGCAGTGTGAAGCTTACTGAAGGGAGAATCATAGAGATGAAGCATGGGTCTGAATGATCATGGCTGTCAAATGTGTCACATCAATCCCACTATGACAGTCATCTCTGACTGTGGTCTGTCCCTCCACATCAAAGCCCTATCTTGATCATATACAAGCTTTGGCTCTTACAAAGCACACTTTTTCCATTAAGTAGTCCTCCAAATGTGATTGCGCAAACAAAACCCACACACTTGCTTATTACGCCATGACAATCCCATGGAAATGGGGTGTCTAATTATCTCTTACAGCATGCCAGCAGTGTCTTTCTTTGACTTTCTCTTTGACAGGCTACATTGATCTGAAGGGCCTGATAACCACTTAGAACGAGGCCGTCATGCAATTGCAAAGAGGGACACACTCCAGAAGCATCTTGTTAGAGATTTGCCCTCACTTTGAACAATTCATTAAAATTCAATTAAAACTTAATCATAGTTGTGTGGGATTCCTAACGCTGAATCAAAATAAATGTACAATGACAAATTGGTTGTCAAAGTCAAAATCCATTAATTAAGAGTTTTAATAAGTTATTAACCTGTACTGTATTTTCAAAATTACACAGTGCCCCAATTAGGGCAACGGAAAAATTATTACAAGCAATCGGCTTAAGGCAAGATTGTGATTATAATGTTTGCATAGATCAAAGTAATGCAATTTCTCTGCATACCCAGCGCATAAATACATTCAATAACTGGTCTACAGATTAAAGCAAACAATGGAACAACCCAGCTTCTGCATCGCTCACCACTAAAAAGCCATGTGCTACAACTGCTTTATAATGACTGCTAACATTTTCACCGTAATTAGTGCACAGCAGTAGATGAGGAAGCCCATCACTGTAATGTTACTGACTGAATATGATGAATACTGTAAGTGTAGAGCACTCTACAGGTTTTTACATTTTTTTAACTGCAGCACTTGCTCATGGTGTTTGCCATTGGCTTAGCCTTTAACTCCTGAACTGAATCAGCAGGCAGAGATAATTAACCAAGTGTAACCTGTTTTTCTTCTGTTTATAAAACATATTGTCATTTATATTGAGTTTTAGTTATTCATTTATTTGAATGCACATCAAGTTACTTCACATCGTGTTTGGAAGTTATTCCAAAGACTTCTAGATGACTTAGTGAGTGAAATTACATTAAAAGGTAGAGTTCTTCTAGGTCTCTTTTTGATGTTAAAATAAATATTAAGAAATAAAGGTAAACAAACTATGTAGATTTTGTTTTGAAAATCCAATGTCTCTTGAGCAGAAGACACAACAAAACGGAAAAGACAGCCAATAAAATTAGCATTACTCAATTTTAACACCTGAGCTCTCCTACACCCTTTCATTTTAGCTTTTTTTTCTGTCTTTCAAATTGCAGTGCTGTGGCTCTGGAGTAGAGGCAGGTTATTAGCAGATGCCTGAATCCTAGAGAGAAATGGCAAACTGATTTTGTGATCTTTGAGGGTTCGGTCTAATTGAGTGTTATTTATTAGCAGAAAAAGAAAGTCCCAGGAAAGGGCAGCTCTCTTCATACTGTTGCTCATTTTTCAACACTTTGGCCAGGAATCTATCTCTGCCCTCTCCTGATACACAAACACAGGTGGAAAGAAAGAGCTGGTTCATTTGAGATGTCAATTAAGATCTATCTACTTTGACCAGGAAGGCAAGTATAACCAAATATACAATCTAGCAACATGTAGGTTGGACAAGACAAGTCATCTGCTTGTAATGAAAACAAAAGCAATTGGTGGGAATGCATATTGCAAGGAATACAATTATATCCATCTATACATTAGCTAAGGGTTTAAAAAGCATATTTGCAAAACTGCATCAATACTTAAAGGACCGATGAGTTTAGACATGGGGGAGTTCTGTTATTCAAACGTAGGGGTCTAGGTAAAGGGTGCTGCATGATGCACCTGTTGTTGAGCCTTTTAAAGTGGAATTAAATCTTTAAACTCCCCACTACCACCCTTTAACATTCACATAAAGTGTTTTTATTTGTAAGAATGATAAGTTGCTTGTTTAAAAAAACAACAACAAAAAACAGGCCCTGCTTTAAGTTAAAGAAACTGTCACTGTTAACATTTATATTTTTCAGAGTTTATAGTATTACTCTAGTATTACCCTGAGTTTAAGGGTGTGACAATGTGTATGTATGAAATACACCAAATATTTTTCACTTATTGCTCATCATGTTATTCAAGAAAACAGACTATCATCATCAACTACATCCATTTTTTCAAAAGGGAGCAGTATTCTTTATATCTTTTTCTATTCAAGAAAAAACAAGGCAGAAAAGGAGAGAGGCGAAACTCTACTGATGTCCCTGAACGTTGGATATACAGAATGTAACCTTACTTCTGGTAGAACTGAATAAACACTGAATACGACTTCAGTTGTATGTTAAAAGGGGAACAAGGTTTGATACATCCCTCAATTCCCACCTGCCAGTGTCTCTAAAACACTCTGTGATTTTTCGGCCTCTCTTCTTCCTTACACCCACAGGATAGCCCGATATACCGGTACATGTTTTATCTTCATCTGCTGACACTGATCATCTAAAGAGCTTCTCCAGGGGCTATCTGTGAAATCACAGGCGTGCAGACATTTCTGAGAGCTGTCGGCATTCTCTCTGGGCGTCCACTCACTGCGTTTGCCTGTTTGTTTCTGTCTTTTTTCTTTTTCTCTGTTCCAATAAGAGGAAAGGCTGGAGTAAAGAGCAGTGGTGTCTATCTCTAACTTTTTTTTTTTTTTCCCAAGAGATTCCAATGTATGGATTTCAAAGAAACAATTAGTCCTATGATTTTACCAAAAGTTCATTACTACATAACAAGGTGAGACCATTGCAAAGAACACTTGAGGCTGGGAATATTTAGCTACATGGTGAGTCTAATATGGTAACATATTTCGGGATCATAAAACATCTCTGAGTATGTATGTTCTGTTTAATCTAAGGATTGTTCTCTTCCGTTACAGTTAATTTTAATAAAAGTGATCACACCATTTCAAGAGTCTGAAGTATTTCTATTTATAAAATCCAATGAGAATCAAACATTGATCCAAAATATGAAACCACAGCACAGTCTCAGTCAGGCATCAATCAGTCAATAGATCAATTATTTATCCCGTTATTAATGTGTCATAATATCATATCCATTATTTATCAGTTAGTGTCCAACATAAGCACTTAGGAGAATCTAACTGGTATACTATTAAACTCTACATTAATAAAAAAAGGGGACAACCTCTTAAAGAACTTAAACCTCAACATGTCACACAATAACTTCAAGTGGCTAAGGTTGCTATGGCAATATATGAACCATGGCCTACATTGATGAACAGGAGGAGGATGGACCAGGAGTCCTACAGCCATAAACTTTAAGTCTGAGCAGATGAGCTTTAAGAAACTGAACTTTATATACTATAAACACTCCTAAGGACTCTTCTCCTTGTTGCACCCATTGTTAAGCTGTGACTTCAGAATAAACACACAGAAAAAGCCTAGTTTTGTTAGTTTTAGTAGCTCTCCCTGTGGTCTTTGTTTTAAGGCTATGGCATAACCTTTTCAAAAAGTTCATTAAAAATGAAGATGATCAAATTGAAGAAACTGCAGGGGAGCTCTTTAAGAGATGACATTTTACCTCTAAGAGCACAAAGGCCAAAAATACAATCACCTATTTAGTTAAGCATTCATAATTCAGAAGTTCTTGGAAAGGAAAGAGCATAATGCTGAATAAAAGGAGAAAGGAAAAATAAGGAATGCGGTTAATCCATACGCTACTGTACCAACATGCTAGTTTGAAACAGTTTTTAATGATCTAGAACATTGCTCCAGTTCGATAGTGCAGCCGACTGAGAGGGTACATTTTCTTCTGCATGGACAGGGGTTTTGACTCTCTTATAATGAATTGATAACCATGTCTCTGTTAATGTTGAGTATTTTCTCTTAATCAATTACATTTAGATTTAGGATTTTTAAGGCCCTAGCGATTACTAAAGATGGAAAGCAGCTGTTTCAATCGTTGTTTGTTGGCATTTGCACTCGACAATATGCTCATAAAATCTATAACTTTATGTCCATAACTTGCTTACTAAAAGGGATCGCAACATCCTGATTGGATAACAGTGTGTACTTGCATTCAGGGATATGTGTTTAAACTTAAAACCTTTGAGAGTCAAACTTCGAAGAGTTTTTAGAAGAGACATGCAAATTTTCATGATTAATTCAATTTAATTTCAGTAACATCTCGAAGTCTGTAACAACTAAAAATAGTACAATTAAAAGCAAGAAAATAAAACAATTAACGAGTGAAAGAAAAATAATACTAACCTTTGGTTTCTGTTCCAGCCCAGCGTGAAGGCAAGGTCATGCAGCCAAGTAGAATTAGCAAAAATAGAGAGAAGAACAAGCAGAGGGAGAATTGAAGAGAAACAGACAGCACAAACAAGAGAATGATAAAAAAAAAAAAAAAAAAAAGCTAGTTAGTGATGTTTGAAGCAAGCAACATAAACCACTGCACTGGATAAAGAATGAAGTTACAATGAAAGCACAAAAATGTTGCATGCATGAAAGGAAAAAAGTATAAATGTTGTGAACTTTCAAACACCAGACTTGTCAAAAGAGGAAACATATCAGGGTCACAGCTTTCTCGTTATCACAGAGAATGACAACATCTCAAGAGCTGTCAGTTTATGGAAATAGCAGTGATGTGGAATTTGAGTCACCAAGGACATCAATAGTCAATGATGACAGTCTCTCAATGGCACCAGGCATCACAGGTCAAAGCCCGAGTTCTCTCACTTAAACAGCGCATTATATTAAACAGATTAGATGCTCCCATTGCATGCATAACATACTGACTTTCTGTCAGTGAAGATCTTGTCTGTCACATTTGGAACACAAGTGTCATTTGTTTTCACCCACATTCGCAGCAGTGACTGGAGGAAAAACGTGCATTTTGAGAAGTATTTAGGAAAGAAAAGATAATCTCCACACTTTGTATATGTAAAACTTTGAATATGTAAAACAGTCAGATCAAGTTACTTCCTGTGTGCCACAATATCTTCTTTTAGAATCAATTCCACCTCCTAAATCCTCGTGGTTCAACAAAGGAAAAAACAAAACTTCCATAATACTGAGCACAAATCCCAGTTGGTATGTGTGCATTCTTAAAAGTTGAGAGATCTAAAAAAAATGCAGATTTCTGCGGTGAACTTCACTTTAACTCACTATACAGGTCAACAGACAATATGTGACAATGAATTACAAAAGTGCTGCAGCTTATTCCCCTTTCACTCCTCTCTCTTTTTTTGAAGTTCCTCGATGAAGCTCTGAGAAGCAGCTCTCTACCCTCACAGTCTTTATCCATCAGCATAGAGGACAGAAACCACAAAGACAGCAATTAAAGCCTTCAGATGTCTGGGGAACATCTTTAAGCTTAGAGTTCAGGGGTTGACACTGTCATATCATTAGCTGTACTTGATTTTTAATCTGTGGTTATTAAACACAATGAGATAACTTTAGCCTGTGGATCTACTGATTAACTTTAGTTAACCTCTCACTTTTTCATATAGCACCTGGAAGCTGCCTGAACGACTTCTGTCTCATAACAACTCCATATCTGAACTTTAGAACTAGTGCTCGAAGAACATTGCACAACTTTAACAAAGCCTTCTTAGAGCGAAGAGAGTGATACCTGTGAGCAGTGTGTGGTTTGTGTTTGTGGGTAGTGTTTAAGGTGTTTGGATAGAGGGGGACTGTTGAGCCAAAGCTTTAACGCTACATTTAAGAAGTTTGAATTAAAAACATAGCTAGTAAAATGGTAATAATAAAAACTGTAATGAGTAAAAGTATGAAGACATTCCTAGCACAACATTAGAGCAAGATATGAGCATATGCATCACACAAAACTGTGTGTCACATGAGGGACTTCTAATAGAGGAAAAACTTTCCTTTTTTTGTCCCCTGTCATCAATTAGTTGACAGCTGAAGGTCATCACTACAGTAGTTTTCATCAGCTTTATTAAACTACACTAAGCAAAGTAATAGACAAGGAAAAAGTCTCTGGAAAAACAGGATCTTACAAGAAACTGTATCCAGTATGATCAAATATAAAATAACTTGCTACATGGAAGTTGTTCAGTGGGATTCTTATCAAGATCTTAGTCTGTCGTCGTTGATTTTGCAAATGTATATGTAAGTGTCTATTAGTTTTATTATAAGAACATAGTTAAATAACATTAAGGACAGAAACTGAAATATTTAAAGGGATACTTCACCTGTTGAAACATGAATCTGTGTAGGAATTGGCTGATACAGTATATGTATAGTAGAAATGTGAAATACATTTTGAAGTTGGTGCCTTCTTGACCAAGAAAAGGCAGAAAGGGTATTTTTGACTCGTGGATGGAAGACAACAACTCCCAGAATGCACAGCACGGCAGGCCAATCCATCAGCCTCAACTGCTCGTCGCTATATTGCAGATGGTAGAGATAGCCAGGAACATCTGATTTGAGCACAAGACCTTCAAAATCCCCTTCATCCATATCAGTTTGAAGTTGAAACATACTTTCCGCAATTGTCGGTTCTTCTCAGCTTTCTCCACAGAGCCTGTTAGCATAGCTTCCAAGCAAGATGGCGGACATTGCTTTTAGATTCTGGGAGTGAGGTTCCACCCACTGATCTGTAATAGGTCTGTGTGGACACAGCATTTGTCAGTGGATGAGTGTGTCGGACTAGAACAATTTTACTTTAAGCCAATCTATTTTCCAGTGTTGGTGTTGAAATACAATAAAAACCCCGCCCATATAACCCACAAATACTGCACTAAACAGCTATTTATGAAATAGTTTACTCGTCCAACTAAATATGTTCCTGGAAAAACTGCACTGCCGGAGATATGCAATTTAATCTGTATGCAATAAATGAATATTTTAGTTGTGTGACTGGAAATGCCACGACATGAACTAACCAGATGTTCACAGCATCTGCAGCAGGAGAAGTCTTTACGTGTTTTGTTGACACAGACAGTAGACAATATAGTACAAAGGTGGATTGTAACAAAATGTAAGAGGAACATCCTGGGAAAACCACATTAAAGTCGACATCTCCTGCATCCTTAGAATGTTGCTTAAAAAGACTGCCCGGATGGTCAGGGGACCTCTACTGAAGCAGCACAAGCAGTAGATGCAACATCAACAGGAGTACAAGTGGCTATATCAAACCTGGTTTCATTCCCTTGTCTGACTCCCTCTAGGGGAAAAACGTATTCTCCAAACTATTCCTTCCAATTCCCCTGAAATGGTTCACCTCTAAAGGAAAGCATGAGAAATGGAGGGGCTGGCTGAGTTTCTGACATTGCCTCAACTATACACAGACTCTCCCCAAACCTCCTATTTCTCCCGCTTTGATGGGAAGTTTCTTTTTTTTTGTGAGCCTAAAAGAAGACAGATACCAGTGTGCAGCTGCATCATCTAACACAAAGCAAGTTGTCCACCTGCATGCACTGACTCTTTCAGAATAGCAGCTGTGTTGTAAGAGAGCAGACATGGAAGGAAACACAGAAAGTCTTACAAAAGAATAACAGGGCATGTGTTAGCTTCTCCATTTTAGCTAACAGCTCTGAAGCCCTTTTCCCTATGCAAATATGAACACATGATCTGCAGATACTCATCTATAATCTCTTAGATTTTGACCTTGGCCTCAAATTCTCCCTCTTTTCGTCTAAAATATGTTCATCTATATTGTTTGCATAGAAGATAAACTGAATTTGGACAAAGAGCTGATACGTTTATTTTAGTAATCGTATAATGGATATATGTTATAGGCAAACCTAAGGTTGTTTTGTGTGTACATACACATGGCGGTTGTTTGCTCAGCCAGACAACCTTGTTGTTGCTACACGATGGGTATCATAATTAACAACACAGGAAGAGTTCCTTACTTTTTAGAAAAGAAAATAGGTAATCAACAACATTTTCCTGCGACAACTTACCGCCTCACTTTGCACCAACACTGATTCACTGCAGTAGGTCACAATAGGACTTAATACATATTCCGCCGCCCCTCGCAGCGTTTCTCCTAACAGCATTCAAACCTTACAACGTCTGAGTGCAGGTTTAATGCTGCTCATGAAAGGGGTTCTTGAGCTGTATGTTCATGGCAGTGTTTTTCCTGTTGAGTATGTTAATCTCCCTGTTGATTTTAAAGTTGCTATAAACAGCCCTAGTTATCAAACCCAGCAACATTATGGAAAGTTTACATTTCAAAGTGTTCTATATTTCCTAATAAACAATTCTGCGATAACATGTGCAGTCTCTCAAAAAACACTGGCAGAACATTGAACTGTTTTTCAACTTGGAAATGTAGATTGAACTCAGTTTCTTAAGCTCATTTCTGTAGTAAACACCTGTTGTTATCAATTTACATGATCTATTTATAGATTTTAATTGATCTGAGATGTAATGTGAGCCGACTACAAAAGCTCTTTCATTGAAGCTTGGACAATACTGATTGAAAATATTCATAAATGTGCAGGCCTCTGCTGCAACATTTATTGCTAAACTTAACCTCAAATTATTATTTTGTTAAGCACGTTTAAAGAGAAAGGATGTATAAAAGCTTAAATCAGCTTACAGTGCAATATTTCCTTATTTCCTGTCGTGCACAATGTCTGTGAAGCATCAGGTTTTACTAACGTTTTATTTCTTGTTTCCATGTCTGAAAATCGATAGCATGGTTGTATACTATATGGCAAGTGACAAAAACAAGGCCATGGCTAATGGGCACCGTAATTACAGGCATAGATCTTTTAGTATGGGTGATTTTAACTTTGCTAATGAGTCCAAGCACATAACATTCAGTGACTAGAAATAATTTGAGGTTTAGTCAGGCCTGGAGGTAATTGTACTTGGTTATAAAATAGATAAGCTCTGAGGTTAGAAAGACAATTGAATGATCATTATGTGACTCCTAAAGGATTGTTCTAGTTAAGAGTAAATAGCTTAAGTCAAGAACTTTCAGTTTACCTCAGCTGCTAAACAGAAATCCTTCACATCTGAGTAGCCTTTTTATTGCTGAACCTCATGGCACGACTAAGGCTTTAACAAGAAACCATCTAATAGAAGCTGAAAGAAGGCATCTTCAATAAAACTCCTTGGTGCATCAAGATGATACATACGTTGTTAGGAGTTAACTGGAACACAATTACTATAAAGCCAGAAAACGAATGTAAAAAAAACAACTAAAGAGAGGTGGACAAAATGGACCACAAACAGGAGACACAAATGACCAGCCCCTATTTGTGCTGGTATAGGCTTAGACTGCCGGGGACATTGATCTCTCTGTCTCTGTATGTATTCACATCATAATACTGCATGCCACTTTCTGTAATTCTTCATGTAACTTTGAAGTTTCGAACCACATATCTTCCTGGGAGCCCCTGAGCTTCCTTGTCTCATAGGTTCCTCTGGATCGTTGGTGTTTAACCAGGGAAAAAAACAAATCAATAGAACTGTGCTGCTCTTTTCCTGCCTAATAATTAAAGGTAATTTTGGCCTGCTTAATATTAAACTACTTTACTAATAAGTTTTGGGATGAACATTATGGGGAGAATAACATTGCAAAACAGGAGGAGGTTATGTGTGATAACTTGAATTGTAAAACAAAAGCAAAGAGAATAAGAGACAAAATGCTCTTGGGTGAAAGTCCAATGAAGTCAACATTTTAAATGCTAACATGATAAATCAACATTCACAATCAAACACACAATTTATAAAGTCCATACTAAAGCCAACTGCCGCCCTTTCCCTTCAGTAACATGCTGTATGAGCTGTCAGATCTCCTGTGGCCAATGCTTTTCTCTAATTGCTCTATTATAACTTTACAAATGTTAGGAAATGACAACCCTTCACCGTTTCTACATAATTGAAAGGTTCCATTTATTTGTATGGTTTAGGAAAGGCTAAGACTTGAAAAATGAGCAAAGAAATCAGCTCACATATTCACTATGCTCTAATTCAATTTGATTTGCTCCGACCTTTATCTAAAAGTAAAAACACCCATTTATTGCAATTTGCTCATAAGGATGTGTGTTAAAGTGGCGCTGACCCTTTGCCGAAAACCACAGCCCGCCTCTGAATAGACAAACACAAGAGCCATAAAGCCTTATTACCGCTGCGAATATTATGTCTACTTTGACAAATAAAAAATGTGTTTTGCTTCTCCAAATGTGGTCATTTAAATTCTGTTTGAATATGTCGTTCCAGCCTCCTCCTAAGACTTTGAATAATTTTATTTATTCACTCAATTAAATTGAGGTCTTCAAAAATACAACAGTGATGGTCTCTAAACAAACAGTTCCAAGTCCCCATCCAAAGCCAGTGGTTTGTGTACAGGATGCCGGGGATCGTGTTAGAAAACAAGAGTGAGAAGCACCAACATAACAAAAGAAAAAAAAAAAGAGGTCCAAGGGAAATAAATGAATATTTAATAAGAAAAACTGTGTGAATACTGTTTCATACCGTGTCCTGTTTAATGTTTAATGCTGATCCAGATGCTGCTGCTCTTAAGTGAGATGAAACATGATGCTACATGGCTTTGTTAATAAGAAGACAAGCCCACACGCACGCTCACTGACACGCAGCAGCGGCAGCAACTGGGTCCAACAGCTGAACCCATCAACCATGCTGCTCTTACAACCTCCACTGGGACGGGAGGAAACGAGAGGAACACGACTAAGAGAACAGACACAAAACATGAGAAAGATTTAATTTAGTCTAATATTTCATGTCTTTACCACTGAATGTGAAATCCATTAGCAATGAGCAGACAAACCTGCCGAATGAACAAATGCAGGAAAGCAGTGATTTTGAGTGCGTCCTCAGCTGAGGGAAAGTGTGTTTTTACAAAGACTGTAAAATAAAATATTGAATTTGAGCATGTACAGGCTGTGGTTCATTACCCTAATAGAAATTGTCTGCTGATGGATATCCTTCCTTTGCCCTCTCTAGACTTCACCTGCTTGACTGTTTGTCTACCTGTTTGCTATTTAAAATGTGCCTCCATTATTCAGCACATTCATTCGATCGGGAACAACGGTGCACTTGAGTGTAGGGGGTCTTGTGGGCCTTGAGATGAGCAGCATAGAGTTGTGACAGGTAGATAACACCTGGATGAATAATTCAACTTGACGTAGGCAAGCCGAGAGAGACGAGAAAGAAAACCACACGACATGTGAATAAATCATCAGGGAAGGGACTAATAGAGAAAGCACAGGAGAGTACAAGACTGATAACATCTCATGCTTCCTCCTGCTCTCGCGTTGATCAGTCCAACAACCTTGTACATGAATATTAGAGATCTTGCCAGCCTTACTAATGTATGAGGATGTCGTGCTATTGAGCAGCATTAGGATAACCAGGGTTAGTAAGAGTAGGTAAAAGGAAATCCTAAACAGCATGCGCACCTTTTGGGCCTCGAATTCAGCAATGACTGTGTCACTGAATAATTTAAACATAACCAAATCGATTGATATAAACATATTATACTAATAGTTCTTATGTTTGCAACACTGAAATTACTCATTGGATTATGAGTAGCACCTAGTTTTATAAATGTGCAAAAGCATGAAAAATATATGAAGACAGACGCTGTGCTGTTTTTTTTTTTTTTTTGTCCTCATCTCCCACCAGTACATTACAATAGCACATCAGGGATGATATTGGCCATGACAACTTTGAAACAAATGAGGCAATGAAAAGAAATCAGCATTCTAGACCATTTTGGGTTCATGAGACCTCTATCTATGCTTGAAACAGCACATGGAATTGGACCAAATTGAGCTCCAACAAATAAGGAATGATTTTGTCACACAGAGATCCATTTACTGAAAGTGATGAAAAGCAGTTTGTTTACCAACAGTAGCCTAGGGGGTTGGTGCGAGCACTGTGCTGTATCTTTGTCATACAATTCCCACTAAATGAAGACACATAGCCAATTACTCACAAGCACAGATGCGTAACACAAAGGCAGAAATCCCTTCACATTTCTCCTCCTTGTTTAAATACTCCAGGCTTTCTGAGAAACAATGATAATTTCAGCCTACATGTGACAGTGATGAGTCAGAGAGCACGGAGATGGAAGGGAAAGTGAGGTGAGAGAAATAAAGAGGATGTACTGTAGAGAAAAATAACATGAAGAAATAATCTAAGATGGAATAGAAGTTGAGCAACATGGAAGCAACAATGAAATGTATGATGTAATATCTGACCTGTTCTTTGGGAGCAAAAAGTCAGAGCAACCCGGCTGAGTAAATCTGGTTTTGCGTACTGGACATCGTCAGCCAGCACCCAGAAACAGCCTTCTGACATTTCCTGGGGACGAATCTGCAAACACACATCCACAGTCGAGCACATTTAGTTAACAAATGTTTTTTGTTTTTTTAACAGTTGATAGAGACGACAGATGGATACATCATTCCTCTAGGATATAATTTACATTTTCATTTTTTGGAGGGTGGCATACGTAAGCAGTTGCTATGTAACAATTGCTTGTATGACTGTCTATTAGTTTTTTACTTTGTAATTGACAGTATAATGTATAAACACATGCAAACAAACATACGAGAAACAGCAAGTCTATACTTTATTTGGAACATGAAGGAATAGGAAGCTGTACTAACTAACATGTAGACTTCTTTGTCAATATCACTACAGCCACTGCAAGGATAACGCAACGTAAATGAGTAAGGCAGTTTAAGTCCATGACATTTCAAGATAATAAGCACAGTCTTGAGACCTTTTCTTTAGAGTCTGCCAACATGTTGAATGCATTCAAGAGAGAGGCAGACTAAAGCAGTTTGCCCTGCTTTACACATTAAACATCACAATACAGTCAAGTGTAACCGGGTTTAGACTTTTAAGTCATTGAAGCATACAACAAGTCCATTTACATGATTGGCCTAGTGTAGTGAGGAGCAGTCATGTCTCTTAGGTTTGAACATGCTAATAAGATATAAAGAAATCTCTGCTGAGTTTATATACCTTGCACTTAAACTGCTACGTATATTTTAGTTTAGACCCTCTGGCAATACTTTCAAAAAGAACACTTCCTGTAACTTGATGAAGATGCTAATACTGCTGATGCGTCGGAAAATTAAACAGGATGCAGTGATTGCAAGCACCAACTGTGAACCAGGTGAATCTTGGACTAAAGCTAATTTTTAACTGATAACCAAAGCTCTATTTTATCTCTGTTGTTCACTACATTTTTACTTTACGTGTTGTGCTTTTTTTTTTTTTTTTACGGTTGTCATATTGTTCTTTTATTTCCTACGTAGAGAGATGCCATTTAATTTCATTGTACCTTTGTATGGAGACAATGAAGTTCATTCTGGCCCCATTAGTGCTGGATGTGTAAGCTAACAACTCTTTTCTAAAAGTAACATTGAGACGGTGACAAGCCAACAGCATGTGAAGGCTTTATACTTGATGTTCATGAGTTTTATGTCATTGAATCAAATAAAACTCTTAAACTGCTTTAGCAGTTCAATAATAGTGTGAAGTTTCAAATCTTTGCACTGAGGAAGTTTCAGAACAGCTTTGTCCCAAACATAACCATATGTGGGGGTCTCATACAGCTGTGCCACAAGTCCTTCTCATTTCCTACTAAAAGGTGTGCTTGAAAATCCAAGCATATGGTTCAGTTTCCTGAACACCTGTACAGATGTTCAACTCAGTTTTAATAATTAATCAAACCACGAACTAATATCACTTGTGGTGTGAACTAATATTGCTCTGCAGGGAATCACATCTGTAGAGGCTGCGGCTACGCAGACAAAAGCATCTGATCATCTGTTATTTTCAATTCTTTCTGGTTTGGCACAAAAGTAGAAAGTTGTTGTTTAATTCTTAGAAAAACATCTGTACTCTTCAGTTGCTGCCAATGAACATCAGGAAAGGGCCAACAAAGAGCAAAGAAAAAGAATACTATAAATAATGGCCTAAATTTGAAGTTTGGTCGTCCCAAACCTCATGTTAATTAACCAAGAAAAGTTGAAAACATGACAACTTAGATCATGTAATAAAAACACCTGCGATTATTCCACTAATCATTTAGTAATTTTTTTCCTCATACACAGGTCTCACGTTTTCCAACGCAGTGTAATAGTTTGGGGATAAAACCTGTTTTTATGATTCTCTAAAATATTCAATCTTTTAATAGAAACACATTGCAGAGACTTACCTTGGACCAGTTGAGGCGCTTCATAGAGGTCTCAGGCTTAAAGTCCTTCTTTGGCCTGAGGCCATAAGGCAGAGCGTGGTGGGTCGGGGAGCCTAGTCCACCCCCAAAGCCTGGAGGTGGTGGTGGGGGGGCACCAAATGGAGGAGGCACTCCAGGTGGAGGAGGTGGGGCAGGACAGCCTGGTAAAGGAGGAGGAGGTGGAGGCGGAGGAGGGGGAGGTGGCACTCCAGGTCCTGCAGATGTTTGTGGAGGCCCAGACGGGAAGGCTGAGGATGATAGTGCTGGTCCGACATTGGCAGAGGACAGAGTCACAGGTACGGCTCCAAACTGGATTGGCAGAGGGAAAGAATACACTGTATGTGGTGGTATATGCTTTTGTTTTATTTTTGTTGGATTGCTTATGTTCTGACTTATACAGTATGAAGTATTTTACGTTAGTGTTTAAGTGTAAACGTGTAAAGTTTTTTGTTTCGGTTTCTGTAAGTGGACTATTTACACAAATATTTTTGACTCTTGTTATTCTTTAATGAATGACCAAAATAGAAAACATTCATTCATTCATTCAAGTATACAAATAAAATAAGCAATAACAAATGACAAAGTCTTACAACGATTGACTAATTTCAAATGTGAATTGTATTGTTATTCTGTTTGATGTTGATTAAGTGACTTCTCTTAACTTAACCTGAATGTTTTTTTTCGTCTCATCTTGATTCTATAAATATTTCCTTAATGTAAACTATTTCCATTGTTTCTGGTCAGAAGGAAATTGTCCAGAGAATGCAACTGTGCTAAAGAAACTTTCCCCCACAAAAATAAATCAAAAAGGCTTACATGGGGGGTGGGGGGGACTGGAATCAGAAAAACGATTGTGTGCCTTTCTAACACCACTGTGGGTAATGGAGGCGTGTTCTCTCAACCATCCAGCACGGGCCAAATGCTTATCAACTGCCCACTTTCTGTCCCAAAAAATACCCACAATAATTTGTTTTTGCCAAAGCTAAAAAATCAAATGGTATAACCTGAGCTACAAAGCTTGGCAAATTGTATCATACAGAGCAAATGGCTTATTGATCCATGCACCAGTTTTAGATTAAAGACGCACACCAAAGGTCAGCAATGGGCCCTCCCTCTGCCACTGCCTCCAGAGGAAAGAACACCTTCGTTGAATTAACAAGTGTATGTGTGTGCGCGTGTGTGTGTGTATTGATGAGGGATGTACTGAACGGAGACAGACAGGCAAAGACAGTGAGACAAAGAGTGTATTCAAGTGAGTGTGCGTGTACCTGTATTGACCATCGCCATTTGAACCAAGGCACTATTTGAGTATTCATTCTGTGTTTGCGCTTTCAAATTGAAAAATTATCAGGAAAATAAAAGGAAGTTTTCTTCCCTTCTCTGAGCGTGTAGTTATCTTGGTGTGGGAGCAACTCTCATGGGTGACGGGGGTTTGGGGAGGGGGGCTGAGGAGTGGCCCAGTTGTGAGGTTGAAGGGGGTTGTCAGAATAAATTGCTTTCAGAACTATTTCCTCTTCTGGGATAAAGATCAGAGAATCAGAAACAGCCAACATGGAGGACTGGTCAGTATTCTCATTAGACTTTGTGTCAGCTAGCCAGTGAAGCAACCTCTGTGTCAAACCTGAATACAGGCTCTGGTAGATAAAACTCCAAGGCCATTCATACAATGCACCCAAAAAAATAAATAGGAAAATGTCATAAAGGGGAAAAAAGAAGGAAGAAAGCTTAAGTTCGATTTCCAAGCTAGATTCGGTTGTTCAGCAATCAAATCAGGTGTTTTCATATATTTCACACACAAGAATAAACACAATTTAAAAAATCTGACATGAACAACAAAGATAAACCGGTCTTTTACCTGGGACCTGAAGGCCTGCAGCTCTGTTTGGAGTTCAGCTATTTTGTCTTCACACTGCTGCAGCTGAGCTTGAGCCTCCTGTCTGCTTAGAAACTCTTCATCAAACTAAACAGAGAAACGTATATCCAAATTGATCACACGAGCACATACTGATTTTACAATAATGAAACTGAGAATCAAAATAAGTAGTGTTCATTAAAATTATTTAAGTCTAATGGAGTAATTATGTCATGTAATTATCATTCAATCTACCTTGATTATCTTCATTCACTGATTGAATTTTAACCTTTTGTCAAACACATATTCATTAATAAAACTAGTTAAGTACCAAACGCAAATGCCAATCAGTGAGCCCCATACTTGTAATCACTATCCACAACCTGCTGCTACTGCGAGTCCAATTAATCAGAGCAGCCAACGCATCTGATCTCACACATTTCACCAAGCATGGGTGTGTGTGTCACTGTTTGAATGTGCTTTAAAAATGAAAGAAAAGAGGTTTGGTGTATTGTAGGGCGATAGTTTTAAAAGTTCTGTTTCCTTTTCCTCTGTGATTAAGTTACAAGCTTTAAATATAGACGATTACAGAGCAGCTCAAGCAGTGGCACACAGTGACAAGAAGACAACTGGTTATGTATCCAAAGTGATTCCAAAAGCAAGTTTTATATTTCTGTTCTCAACCTGCAAAAAGCTGGGGTATTTTAACATTTGTTATTGACAGCAGGTACTCTTTACCTCTGGTTATTCAATGTTTGGTTTCTTGGATTTTAAAACCAGATTTGAGCGTTTAGAAGTTATCAGTCTTATTATTATATCATAGCCAGCTGTCATATCTATGTGTCTGCACTGCCTGCAGTCAGTGACAGAGCCGCGCCGTCACAGTCCCTTCATGCTCACTTCCAAAATAAGCCTTTTTCACTTTTTGAAAAATAATCAGAGAGTATTTGAAATCTGCTCACTGATAGCAGCAATTTTACGGTATACTTGGCTTTAAATTCCCTGCTATGATCTTGCTTTAATATGTTTTTATTATACAAGCTTCCAGGGATTGTCATTGTATTGTTGCTCTAAATTGTTGGTTTATTATCTTACCAGATGTTATTGTATAGAACAAATAAGGAAAGCAGGTGTTACTTTTTGCCACTTGGTGTAGTGAATGTGAAGTAGGATGAAAATGTCAGTCGCTGTCTTTGTCAATACTTGCCTTCTGTGCCAGTTCTGAGGCTCTCTGTTCATACTCATCACTGCGAGCTTTATCTACACACACCTCTGAAAACAAAACAAACAAAAAAAAATACACAATTCAAATCACTGATGCATTATTGAAAAACCTGTGATGCAAATCAAATATGAGAAGTGTGAGACTTGCCCAAGAGGTGGCTGAAGTCCACATCTAGGCGCTTGCGGTAACTGAAGTCTGGATCTGTGCCACTACGGTGGAGCACAATCTGAGACACACACTCCTCGATGATCTTAAAGTACTGGGGCCTAAAAATGGAGATGAGTCGGACAAGACAATCAAAGGACACATCGAGCAAACAACAAAAGGCAAAAACAGATCTCCGATTAGGGATTCAAATTAAAACCTAATGCTCACAGGACAGATGATTGTTGAATTCAACTTACACATTGCATATGGAAACATCTTACATGCTTAAAAGTCAATGACCTGATGGAGTTAACATAGCTATCTGGTCCAAACAAAAAATGATGATAAAACTCATACACCTTACCGTATATTACACCACCACAATGCCAACCAATTAGAAGAAGAAAAGCTGACGCGTTTGACGTGACATATTCTGTATGATCTCTCTTAATGTATTTTTGTATTATTGTAACTGCAGGACAGAGTCCAATACAAATGTCCTTATGGGGATAATACAGTATATCTTATCTAATGTTAATAGGGAGTTGAAATAAATAGATACATATAAAAACAGATCTTTCAGGATTGTTTGTTGTGATATTACAATAATGAGACACATGCTGTTGTTACATATATTTGTTCATTTAAAATGCAAACAGACTAAATCTTATTCATTTAACATTTACACCTTGATAAAAGAACTGCTTTGACGGCACTGAATAATGGGAAAACAAACACTAACTTATTAGCATTTCTCAGTTCTTGAGTCAAGTCGTTACACTGGCTTCATTGAATGCATTTATAGCACGATAACTAAGGGCAACCGTTCAAAAAATAAAAAGGAGATAATATAATACAACAGATGACATTCAAGGCATGGAGCCACAATGCTATCACAATCACAAGTTAAAGGGAAGTGTCTGTTTGATCTGCTCATTATCTTACAACAATGCCACTGAGTTCAAATCTTCTCTACACCAAATCATTACTAATGCTCTGATGAGCTGAGATAAATCGGGGACACTGCCTCCCACCTCTCCTTAAAACAATAAAGTGACTCGATCTGATAGTATCAACACCATTTCTGTCATTTAGAAGATTAGAAACATGATGGAATCACAGTTTGAAAGACAATGTCTTAACAATCAGATCGAGACTGCTGTCGTACAAGTTTCTCATGTCGCTCTAATTACCGTACTCTTTGACTTTGCAACCCCTTTGTAAAAGAGGACTTCCTCTTTATATATATATTCCTGACATCGAAGGAACCTAAAATTAAATAACTGATGATTACTACAGCAGTCAGTTATGAGAGATGCAGGGCATTAAAAGGATCACATTCAGATGCCCTACGTATTAATGACGAAAATTAATCATATCAAGAGTTTGGAGCTGCCGGAGGGAAATTCTAAAAATATATCTGAAGCCAACAAAAACACTCTAAAGAGCAACACCATATGGTCGGGAATGAAAGGGAAAAATATGCAATCAATCATGCCATTAATTGAAGTCAACACATTTGTAATACCAATATGATATGCAGATAGATTGTACAAAAGTGATCTTGTTTTGTGCCTCTCACATGTTTATGAAGAACAAATACAAACCGAAATGTTATATTCAACTAAGTCAAAATATGTTTCATCTTGACGTAATGATGATTTGAACATAAGTTATAATGTGATATATATCTTTTAATAGTATTATACAAAAAAATGCCAATAGTCCCTGGACTGTTGCAGAGGCCATTACAATCTCAGGCCCACATTAATAGCTTTGAATCACTTGTCCAATCAGAAGTCTAAAACAAAGATTTCCAAGTAACAGAAGGTGGAAATGACCAAAACAACCTAAAGCCTGAAAAATGTCTTGAACCATGAATCATTGATCAAAGCTATTGGCCTACACGTTCATACTCTAAACTCAGCTCCGTTTATAAGGGGTTATACGCTTATTGAACTCAAATGCTGCATGTCCCAGGCTACATAATACAAAGAAAGAAAAAAAAAAGCATACGTGCTGTAGTTAAGAATTAGGCAGCCCAAATATCCTTAGAATGGATATTACATGGAGAACAAGGCTAGATAAATACATTTTGACATAATCCTGTTTAGCAGATTAAATCGGAGAAGCAAGACAAAATGTTTGATTTTTGTGTTGGACTCTTTTCCAAAATATGCTTTTAAGAAAAAGGTTCTTTAGGCCATTAAATGTGTCTGCTGTCTGAGATGCTGTTTAGTTACAAATATGCATTTGTTGCTTTAGTTCCCACTATAAGAGCAGACAAAAACACTATGGAATTAATTCCTGAAAGTCTCTTAACACTTTCACTTCTTCCCACTGGGTGGGATCATTGGCTCCATACAACATAGGGCTCCATGCACACCGCCTCGACATGGAAAGGAATTACAAGCTGCCCAGGCCTGCCAAGCCTAGTTAAGATTGATAAGGTATTGATTAATAGCTATTGTTACGTTTTCTGTAGGGCAAAGGCACTAAATGGTCAATAAACCTTCTTTTTCAGCAATAGATTCCAGACATAAACTACAATATTAAACTATTAAATCAAACTCCTATTTGGTATGACTTTAACTAGAATAATGGTGGTTATCTGTCAGATTATATATAAAGTGGACAGTATGTACCAAGGTAATTAAGGACTGATTTCAACTAAACAGTCAATATTTCATAATCATTTTAAAATAAAGGAAATTCATCAGACAGAGCAAGAACAGAGTGACAATTCGGGTGTTGATTTAGAGGTAGGGAATCTGCAGGTGTTGCATTTCATATTCTTCAGATTAAAGCTCCATCTTTTGATGAAGCCAAGGTTTAACTCACACCCAGCTGTGAGTGAACCAACATAAAATAAGCCTTTGAAAAATACCATTAAAAGGAGATGAGAAACACTCTAGAGCCAGGGTTGCTATAGATGGCTTTGAGATGAAAGAGACGGCATTCTCTTTGTTAGCCAATGTCATTGAAAGGGTTTAAGGCAAAAGGAGTGAGACCTCCACAAACCATAAGCTCTCCACTAGTGTACATCATTAACAGAAAATTAACAAAAGGAGGTAAGACCTTTCCTTGTGTGCGTATTCAGCTAAGATGTGAGATTAAAACACTACATGTCAGTCATCCTTATTATCACAAAGACGTTGATGTTTTAGCGCTTTTGACACTTCTGACAAAAGCCAAAGAGCTGTTCTTAAAAGAGAATTATAGAGCTGATGAATAGATCTTGTGGAAAGTAAAGAATTCATAGAAAGTGTAATGCAGACAGAGGAAGGCATTGTGGGTAAGAGTAAAAAAGAGTAGGGGGGGCTCAAACATATGCTTGCATCATTCATACTGAGATCATTAAAAGGTCTTTGTGTTGGTGTGTGCAGTTGATTTTTACCTGACCAAGTAGTCATTGCGTATAAGCATCAGGTGCTGAAGTATGGACAGGAAATAGGGCTCTGCATTGCTGTCCTTCACCATGCTCTGCACAATGCTGAACACATCCCCCGCATCAGTGCAGGGAGTCAAGGACTCATACGCAAAGCAGAATACTGCATGTTCACATTAAAAAAATGTAGCAGCTACTGGAATTTGAAAAAAGGAATACAAAAGAAGTGATTTGGGGAACAATTTATCTTAGCTGGAGTCAACACATTTTGCCATAGTCATGTTTACAGATACAGACACTTAAAGTAGACCTTTGAGATGAGTAGCGTGCGTCTGTTTGTTATAATGTAAAGGATATTCCAACTCGCTTCTGATGTCTTCCAGCCTATGAGAGAACTCCATCATGTCCTCTTCTTTGTGTTCCTCAAATACCTTCAGCTGAATGTCAAGGGCCTCATTCCTGATGGTTGTCAGTTGCTAGAGATGGATTAGGGTAGAAAAGGGACAAAGAGGTAAAAATGCATTCATGGATGATAAATTAAACGTAATAAATCAGAGAGTCAAAACCATCTTTGACAGGCTCAGAATCAGGCTCAGAATCAGGCTCAAATTAAAATAGGGGGCATATTCTAAATGCTATTACTCAACATGATTAACAGGTGTGGAGACTGACTCTAAATGTGTTGTCTTGGCAGCCACAGCAACATTGTTTACAACAGATAAACATGTTAGGTGGAGGGTATAAAAGCCAGTAGGAAGATTATTAGCCTGGGCACTAGACATTTTATTGGTTTCTGGGAGCTGGCACAGACAGAGGACGTGCAAACTCTCCTCTGTGTTTCATGAATTTGCTGGAGCAAATCTACAATATTTCACTGAAGTGGGCAACTCATTTAAATATTAATACAAGGTGAGTGTGACTTTCCATTATGTGTCTATGTGTGTGTAACGTTGTGCTTACCGGCAATATCTCTTTCAGGCCACAGCGCATAAATTCATTTCTGATGTGCAGCCTGAAGTCCAACTCATCAGGAGACGTTACGAGTGCATTGATGAGCTGCATGCATGCCACCTGAAACATGAAGGGTTGACAGAACAAAGAAAGATGGAGAGAGAGAGAAAGAGAGCGAGAGAAAGAGAGAGAGGAAGAAAGGAGTGAGTGAGAAAACCAGGGAAAGGGACGATGGACTTCCTCTAGAAGTTGATGAAAAGCATGCCGGCATGCATTCTAAATGAGCTATGTCCCTCGGAAGCAGAGGACCATAACTAATGCATGTCTATTTTCTCCAGTCACCAACTAGGGGGGGCTGATTTTAATATTAATGCAACAACTGCAGACCCATACACACAAAACTAACTAACAGTCAATTTAAGGGCAAACTCGCTCTTTTGGAAGCTGTTTTTCACTCCCCTCTGAGTTTGGTTTACTGCTCGGGGACCGCTGCATTCTGTGACTTTTCAACTCGGCAGGCAAACACAGACAGAAAAATCTATTATTGATCAGTAAAGCAAACCACTCATGTGTGAAAAGAGGGTATGGCAATGCTAGAGTCCAGGAGGATATTCAGATGTTGCAGAGTCCATTGTCAATTTGAGAGCACCGTTTTTTTTTCTTGCCATGACACTCAAACTTTTAATTACTTTTCTTCAGATTACCATTTTGATCATTTCATACAGGTAGTTTGCATAGCAATGTAACACAAAAACTGTGTTTAAAAATGTTATTGGGATGTAATGGTTCTTTAGAAATCCTTACTAATATCCTAATAAAATTCTCTGATCATTTCTGTAATTGTTTCCTTCCTTCTCATACTCTTTGCTGGCAGTAAATAAAACTTTTATTTTAAATCAAATCAACGGCAAGCGGGATGAAACCTGTTGAAGATAAACAAGTCAAATGGTGGGATTACTGCAATGCTTTACATCATTTGAGGTTATTATAACATAACAAACAGATGATGTGTATTTCAAGTCTGTGATTAGATTGATGCTCATTCCAAAAGTGAATCATTCACTAAAAGATGATACTCATTAGTCTCAGCCTTTTATTCAGTATAGTCTGTTGGCCTATCACAAAAACATAAAGACACACAGACTTCAAGAAAAGAATCTGGGCTGCTTTGATTTTGGTGGTCCCTCATGTGTCTATTTACACTTACAGAGTAAGTGCACACTTTCCTCAGCCAAAGGGTGCCAGGGGAGACCGAGTATAAATGTAGTCCAGTAGGACGGAGAGACTCTGGCTGCACACTGCCATGGTTAAGATAAGAGTTGCTCTCCTTTAATAATGCAGAGGTTTAAAAGGAAACTGTGTTGTGTATAAGGAACTGCGAAGCTGGAACAAAGCATCAATTAAACACAACTAAGGCCTGTAAGACTGTCCAGTTAGAACTTTGATGCCTGTATAGCCGCAGATGTTTTTTGTGCAACAAGAAAAAACGGTTGTCATTCATAATAAAAATAAAACTTTCTATGAGTGTCCCTACAGTTTTGCAACTGTCAAATGGCTAAAGCGAACTGAATGCAAATGCAACAGATAATACTTTAGGGTGGGGCAAAAAAGATTAGTTCTTTTAATTAAGTTAACCATTGGTCAATAGGAAAGTACGACAGGGGCAAATGATAATACACCTAGGATTTTTGTATTGTGTGTATGGTAGGTATTGAACGAATGAACACTCTCTTCACATCCCTCAGCTACATCATGAATTGTGTTCATTTAAACCGACTGATGTTGTCTCTGTTTAAAACAGTCCATATGCAATATCTCAAGTGTAGGTGTCAGCGGGAGATCACCATGCAGCTGAATGATTTTGTCCAAAGAGAGAGGTTTTATGGTAGTGGTGAGATGGTCGAGGTGCGTGGACAAGGAAATAGTTCTCAATCTATACAGTGGACTTTTGATTGTTTTTTTTTGTTTTGTTTTTTTAATGCACTTTTAAAATAAGTCCTTCCTCTGGTGTACTTTCAATACAGCTTGTTTCCCAGCTTATTAATAGACATCCCTCTACCTAAAGTGCCAACAGTAACATTAGTCAAAGTTTCTATGCAATACAATCTTTGGAGGATAAACACTGAAATAGAGCTAATAATAATAACACCACCCAAAGATGCAAATGATAAATCCTGTTAACAAAGTTCTTGATAACTTGTAACTTAGCAATGTTTAGTTGAAAGACTAAAATGCATCTTAAGTAGAAACTTCACCAACATAACCTCATGGAACAATATTAGAATCAGTAAAATACCGGAATAAAACATTTAAAGAAAACAACACTTTAATAAATACAAGCAGTATGAAGGGGCTTCATGTTTTTGTGACTGCATCTTGGATTTACATCCCTCAACCAGTTAGGATTTAAATGAATCGTATAAGTAAAAAATACACTTAATTAGATCAAAGGAAAAAGTGAATAATGTGGAGATGATTAACAAACCCTGAGAACAGGTGGTTGGGAATTGGGATATGTCAAAATGGTCACCTTCCCAGAAGCATTTTTATATTTCATTTCAGAGAATTCTGAGGGAAATAACACAGCTGACACGGTGAGCGGCTGTACTTACCTGTAATTGAACCGAGCGAACTCGTAGTCCCTGCACAATGGGACTGAACCTCTCGATGGCTCGCCATTCCCCTGCTGTGGTGATGGCTTCAAGGACCTTTTCCAAACTAAATGAGAACATGAAATGCATGAGTGACAATTGGAGGAAAAAAATGAAGAAATACATTAATTTGAAGGGATTTTGAACATGAGCCCTCTCCCATTTTACTGTATCAGGGCTTCTTATTCTTGTCAATTTCACCAAAATGGAAGGGCTTTTCCTGGGGATTTCATCACCTTCACTACAAGAAATGACTTCATGATATCAATCCCATTTTTAAGACATTTTAAAAATGACTTTCATGCTCATAGCCTGTACTTGAAAAAGCAAAGGGATTGTGTTCCTCACATGTTCTCTCTCTTCTGTTATAAAATACCACTTGACACTCACTTGACATTCACTTGAAATCTCTGAACCTGTTTCCCTGCCAATACCTTTAGTAAAACAAGCCTAACATCTTATCTACTTAAATGCACGACTCCTGCAATACAGCCTCACTTCAACATACACTGGCACCAGTATTGTGTTTCTTTGAGAGTGAAAATGGCACTCATAATAGGCTAGATCCCATGACAGTTTTTCAGAGAAAATGTGACAGGCCGCCTTTTGCAAATTGATGTTTTATGCTTTAGGCTGACCATTTAAAGCCCTAAACGGCACCTGTGGTTTTCAATAATAAACAATAAGAAATAAATACAGTTATCAACTGGAGTAGAATTGAATTTACAGCTCAAGCTGAGTAAGACTCTAGATTGTGTTAACTTAACAATGGACATATGAGGAGCAGTAATGCAGAAATTTTGACAGAATGACTGCAGACAGAACGTACATGTTCTCTTCGCCCACAATGCAGATGGCTGAAAGCAGCTTTACCACGTCAGTCATCATGGCAGACTGGGTGGGATCAATGGCTCTTGCCAGTAAGGCAAGACTTTTCTCCTCCCCCAGGATTCGATCCAAGCCATACTGCAGGAAACACAAAGACAAAGCATGATTACCGAGATTCTCAGTAATTCTGCCCATTCAGAATAACAAGTAGACGATTTCATGTGAATCTGTAAAACAATGTCTTGTGAAGACAAAACTCCACAGATTAATTCAAAAGTGAGATCCAAAAGGGATTGAGCAGTATTTTCAATAATGCATCATACAATTGACGCTATATTGTCAAGCAAAGAGAAATCAGAAGGCAAGGCAAACTGATTTTAAATAACTGATTTGTAAGTTTTACTCTGTGTTGTCCACAAAAATAAATGCAAAAACACCATTGTTATATAAAACAATATTTTATGTGCCAATGTCATTGCAAACCTAGTGAGTACAATGAATAACTGAACTGAAAGAACTGCAATTATTCCTTAATAATACCAAGCCATTCAGGCACATCTATTGTTTGTGGCGTATTTGTAAAAAAGTCAATTCATCAATGTCGCATTGTTAGAAAATTACATTTTCATTTTAATTAAAACATTAAAATGAAGACATCCTTTGTGCACCAATGAAAGGGGCTCTAATTTTATCAAGGAAGGCATTTTTTTGTTTTCAATTTTCCTTGAGAGATTTTGAGAAACAATTTCAGGCAAGTTTTTGTCGACCTGGTACAAATACCAAACGTCACTAAGCACTTAAAGCTGTTTTTTTCTGTTCGCCTGATTCATGGTGGCTATATGTATTTGAAGAGGCAGACAGCTAACTACATTTTGTAATATCCAGATTCTATTCTCGTTTCTCAAAATATATATAGTTGCTTGCTAAATGCACGTTTACTTTGATTAAAGGTTTATATGTAAGGCCAAGCCATTGTTTCCTTTAACCATTTGCATGACAAACAAACTTCATGACAAGAACACGCTCAACAAGTACTTTTGTTGAGGTTGTATAGTCCAGAAAAAAATGAATGAGCTGTTTTTGTCCTCTGTGAATGCCCTGAAGAACGGCACATTTAAAGCAGGTGATGATACACACACTACATCACTATAACATATACATATACATAATTTTAACCAACGTATACACTAACCCTGAACATTTTTGATTATTTTTTAACCATTTTTGTCTTTACTTTGGAAACTAATAGCAAGCATCTCAATGCTCAATAACATGCTTACAGTTATGAACAGTAAATATAGATATAGTAAAGAGAAGAGTGAGTATAGAGTGTAAATACTGACCCAAAATTGGAATGTGTAGTGATTATAGAACTGAATCCATCAATCCTTAATAAAATGCCTTACTTTTTGTTATGTTATATTAGTAATGACAATTTATCAGAAGTAAAAGCTCATAGCTTGACACAATACTGTAGCTTCACTATCAGAAAGGCCCCATAAGTTTTCAGACACGCAAGTCAAAAAGCTTCAAAAGAACAAAACTGTATCAAGAAAAACTTTTACGTTTAAAGTTTCAGTGTGTGCTAAATTTTAGTATTACATTATCAAACATTGGTGAGAGACAATGGAACATTTGAAACTGTGTGACTTGATGCAAGAAGGCAGAAGAAAAAAAAAAAGCCTGCAATGACAGCTGGCAGAGAACACCTGTCTTCTTGGCATTGTGGGTACATCCCATCCCAAGATGCCTCTCTAGCCAGGGAAAGGTCTGGGCTGACAGAGAGGCCTACGGGTAAATGCTGGCGTCTGGCGCCTGTTGAGACGCAGGATTACATGAGACCTTACAGCACACTTTGTGCCAGAGTGGCTGTATATCTGTCTCCGCTGGGTTTTAGCTCCATGTGGCAAGATCCTTTTCTTTTCTCTGTCTCTACTGTAAGCTTACAGCACACAAGGAGGGAAAGCTGAGGTAGTGTGGAATAAAACAAATTCAATATAACATTTTTATAGTGCAAATTTTGAGGCCTTGGCCAATGGCCATAGTTCAATATTACTATTTACGGTACCTTAAGTAGAATCATTTCATCTGGTAATCATTGTGTTTATAGTTTTGTAATTGTTATACTTAACTTTGATAGATTGCAAACTGTGATGAATTAATCAAGTTTATGGAAGAACTGAACTTCCACACTGACTGACAGTGATTCATCATATAGTCAGCTGCAAGCTTTTCAGAGGGAAATCTATTTACCAAGACACATAATGACTGAAATGGGGTCAGTGAGGGATGCAGAAATTTTAGTTTCAGCATATATTTTTTTTTTCTTTATCATGTCCTACTTTTTATGTCCCTGAAAATACATCTGTTTCTCCCTAACACGTATCCTTGAGAACTAAATCTGAAACTTAACTAGTTCTTAGCACGTATATTGCTTAATATCTGAAGAGCCACAAAGATAAAACCATTTTAAAAGGCAGGAAATTTAAAAATTGCCCCTTTGTTTAAGCCACAATATCAATTCAAAATGATACTTAAAAGCTGAGACAAAGACAGTTCTGTAATTTGGACTGAAATACGTTGTCACATGAAAACAAAAAGCAATTTTGGAGTTGTTTCTCTGTCCAATTCTTTATGTCCTTTCTTTCACACTTTCATTGTCTTCCAGTTCCTGTACCGTCAAAAAACTCTAGACGGCAGAATTTTAGTCCCTATATCTGGGAAAATGTTTCTAACAGAGTCATTCAAATTGCATCAGGAGATGAGTATAACTCCACTCAATTTGCTCCATATTGTTGTGTTGTTGCTATTCTCCTTCACTGATGATAAGCCCCTTCTAATTGAAACCCCAAATGTCTAATTTGGTAATTGAATGAAAACACCAGATGTCGATGTGGATGAGATTACAATTAACCTTGGAGATCAGAAACAACACCAAATACAGGACATCGTTTCATATACTTTTTTCCCTCGTGTTAAAAAGGACAACTGGCGTATGAATTTTTGGATGTATTTTCTAAAGCTATTAGCATGGGATTAGTTCAAAACTGACTTTGAGGCCTCAGTGGGGCTGTTCACTCGCCAACATAGCTGTCCCTTTAATGCATTGAAAGTTTGTGACAGCCAGGACATGAAATCTCAAACACTCCAAAAGAAAGATCAAAATGGCAACCGCGCCAAGAGACACAATGTACTCTGAGGATTGTGAATGATTCATTAATAACATTGTTTTTTTTAAATTGACTGATTGATTTAATGAGTGACTGATATTCATATCTCCTTGTAATGTTTTTGTTTCAACCAAACTTGTAAAGAATGACACCTTTTTGAGGTGGAATAAAATTATAGAAATAAGATTAAATAAATACATATGTCAATGAGTAATCACGGGAACACAAACAAACTAAACAAAAAAAATCCTCAGGTCTCATTACCTTATTGTTCATGAAGGCTTTGAGACACTGGACGACTTTATGTTGGTTCTTTTTGTCAATCTTCTCTTGCCTGGGGAGACAAGAAAGTGATGACAAGCAGTTTATCTGGAATGTATAACATTAAAACTACAACTGGTTAACACAGAGTATGAAAATTTGTTTACATTTCCAAATACAAAGAGTCAAACTTTTTCTGTTTGCTAGTCTTGATTGTATGAATGCATAAATATTTCATTGAATTAGACAAGTATTTGAAAATGAATAAATAAATGCATGTTCTTACTGTTTCTTGAACAGCAACCTTTCCAGAATGTCCAGCAGCAATCCAAGACCTTCATGCCCGAAGTTCTGTACCCAACTGAAACAACACACAATAAATTAATATCCCAACAGTGGAAGATTGACAACTGACAGCACTTACATACTCATCGACCATTGTGTACGGACAGGAAAACACATGTAGAATTCAGTACTGTACAACAGGAGACAGGCTGCAGTAGAACACATTGGAGACCGACGAATACATGCCTGATAAGAAAAACTGCTCAGGAATAATTTTTTGACTGCTCATTTAAATGATATCCAAATAGTTTTGAAATATATTATGAGTCCTACTGTACTGATTTACACTTTGAACTGTCGTATAGTAAAAGGAGCTAGGCCCACATCCAATAATCGTAAATTATCTACATTAATTTTTTAATTCATTTTTCACATGGACGTTAATTTGAAAATGATCACTGAAACCTTTAACGTCTGTTGAATCTGGGTTTTTGTTATCGTTCATTTTTATTTTTTTTGACATCTCCTGTAATTCAAAGAGCTTATTGAATAACGAGCCAAAATGCTCTTCTCTGTCCAGGACACTTTAATTAAAAAATTCAGCTTTGGCTGGTGGTGGTGGTGGTGGTGGGGGGGGGGGTCGTGCCTTGCTCAAGGGCACCTCGGCAGTGATCAGGAAGTGAACTGGCACCTCTCCAGCTATAAGACCAATTTCCAGAGATGGTACGCAATGGGACTTGAACCTGCCCCTCAAACTTAGCTACTGCCGCCCCATTAGCGATTAACATTAATCTGCACTTAAAGGGATACTTCACCTATTTGCATTAAGCTTTGTATCATTAGAAACCTGGTAGTATTTTTGAATGGTCGTGCATCCCGCCCTCATTTTCCCCTGAGATGGGAAATCTTTGTATTTCTAAGTCTGAAAAGGAGCTTCCAGTGACGCAAAATGACGATTTTTGGCCGCCATGAGCTGGTCGCGACACAAGACCGGCCTGTCGGCATCAACCGTCTCGCCACTATATTGCCGCCGCCGGCCGCTGCCAACTCAGCTGTTGGCAGCCTGTCGGCGGCGGTGAGGACGAGGAGCTGGAGCCGGTGGTGCTCTTACTGTTTTCCTATGGAAACAGACATAGAGTCTGTTTTCTGCCAGTAATTTCCAAGATCAATTCTGGAAGAAATCTCGGAATCAGTTGAGGAAATGGTCTTATGTGTTGAAGTAAATATTTCTGTAAATGTTTTTATTACTATATTTCTACTGCTATATTGTATCTTTTGGAGAAACTGTAACAATCGAATTTCCCTCTGGGATTAATAAAGTATTTCTGATTCTGAACTAGAAGACCTTAGTGGGAGTGGCCTGCGGTGCTGTGCATTCTGGGATTTGGTGTCTTTCATCAACATGAGCCAAAACGACACTTTCTGCCTTTTCACGGCCAAGAAGGCACCAACTTCAACATGTATTTCACATTTCTACTACATATATGATCCAATGTCAATACAGATTCATGTTTCAACAGGTGAAGTATCCCTTTAATTAATGGATTGAACTAATTAACCGTTACTGAAGATAACTTCTTAACAGAATCACAATTAACAATGTTACATATTTGATAAACTGTGATCCGCTTTGATAAGAAGTATCAAGACATGTGAAATAAGCTTCTATGGATCGACAATTAGGCATTCTCTATGTTTTTATTAAAGTTGTAACATTCTACAATGCAAGATAATTATCGTCATTTCTGATGGAAAGTTATAACTCATATAGTAATATGCTCACAAAAAATGTCTCTGTTTGTCGTTTCAGTCAACAAAGTACTTCTGAACCAAGCAATGACGTTTGGACAAGCAATTAGTCATTCTTTATACAATCCTTGTAGGTTTCTCCATTTCCTCTGTTGTCCCATTATGTGTGTACAAGGCATACACTTCACAACACAGTCATTTAAATGTAAATTAAAACTTCTGTTATCAAACTTGTCTCTGAAAATGACTGGACAGAAAGACCACATAGGTATTCTGAGGTCTGAGGCATTTCAATCAATCTTTAAAGACTATAAGTTTCAGTTTGAAAACATCAAAGGGCTCCGTAGATATAATTTGGTATGTATACAGTTAACTCAGTGAAAATAATGCAGAAAAGCTCAAATGAATAAAAAACTTAAAGGTCTTGAGACACTGGCATTGATCTTCTGAGAGAACAAACAAACAAAAGAAAAAAAAAAGCAATCACAATGCAGAAGGAGGAGCTTGGGGGCAGGGGACAGAATTTGATTTTTATTGAAGTTATATTTTTATGAAGCAATTGACATTTTTCAGCAAAGGAGGAGGTGAAGCAAGTTCACATGACTCCCGCAAATACGTTACAGAAGGATCGAAATGTTCCTGCTGCTCTTTATTTGAAAGCTGATTTGAGACTAACTTTAAAGAAAAGGGGTTTTGATGGATAACTTGGAGTTCTGTGAAGCTCTTGGGACAAGCCGTTACCGGTATATAGATTTATGTTCCATTATTAGGGCACAATTCTGTTATTAAAGTGAAAAAAAGCCCCAAAAAAAGTTATTCCTACTCTGAATTTCAGGATTGAAATCTCAAATAACAGGGCACTGGAAGCCTATAGTGATTAGTCCCTACAACCCATGTATGGAGGCTTTAGTCCTCTAAGCGAGCGGCCCAGGTTCAAATCCAACCTGTGGCTCATTCCTTGCATGTCATTTCCCACTCTCTCTCTCGCTCCCTGAGTTCTAACTCTGTCTATTCACTGTCTATTCTCTAAATAAAGGCATAAAGATCCCCAAAATATACCTTTTAAAATAAATAAAATCTCATATAAACACAAAAGCAAATGTTTTGCTGGAGATGCAGAAATGTAAAAATAATGATTCCACAATAGTGTAGAGGTGATGTTCAAGCTGTTACAGCAACTGGTAATTTCTCTTTAATGAATACTAGGCTCTCTATAAATCAAAGACTTACCATAAGAAAAGGGGGGGGAAATGTGTATACAGCTTTTCTTTAACAGGCAGAATTATAATAAGAAATAATAATAAGGCTTTTACTTATTTAAGGAGATTTTTAGTTGATAAGCAGATGTGAATAAATATAGCATGAGCTTCAAGCTCTAGGGATTCATATTTTGTGAGACCTTTTCAAACAATGAAGAAATAGAATATTTATTTATGAAAAGACTTTCTTTTTGTTTCCACTACCCGATAACAATCATTGTTAACCCTGTATTTAAATCAGCTGAAGGAACAAGGCTGTGTGTGTAATAGTGGTGTACAGCATTACAGAAGCAATGTGCTATAAAGAACAGAGGCTCCTGTGATCTGATCAAAACAGTCTGACAATCAAGATGAAAACAGTGTTACTTTTCCTTGTTACTGACAAACCCTATACTTCAGATCCAAGGTTTTCACCCACGAGTGACGGTAGGGGAACAAGACAAAGAGCAGCAACGCCTTGAAAAGAACAGAGAAGTTCTTCTATGAGTTTAGGCAAAAGCCTTTAGGTAACAGAGAAAAAGACAGCAAGAGTGAAATGTGAGAAACCGTATTTTCCTTCCTGATTGAAACTGAAAAATTCTCTCTGAACATTAGCATTCAGTGTTTGTACAGTTCTAATCAACAAACTGCATGCCTCTCAGCATCAACTCCACACAAATTCTCAAGGTGACAACATGAAATGGGATGCTGTTATCTGAATTTAATTTCTCGAATAGGTAGGGGAGATGACGTGAGCCTGTGAACTCATTTATCTCTTGCCATAGTTTTATTTTCTGGAAAAGAAAAGAAAAGAGTGAAATGCTTTGAATTTTCGAGGGGGGGGGACACACCTATAACAGACAGTAGATATTTAATTTATTTTTTGTTTTTGAACTTACAAACACACTTGCCAACCTTTTGATTGCAGCAAGATGACGAGTGTTTTCCAATCAAACCAAATAGTTGCTCTTGTCATTATTTCGGTGTATTAGATTTGGGTATACGGACTCAATATATGAGTGAGGGTAGCTTTTTAAAAAAAAAAAGGTATGACAGCAACTTTGAATGTGCACGGCATACATTTGGAGAGAAGGTTGCTTAATTTTATTGAAAATCCACCAAAGGACCACTGCAGCAACCTGACTGCCACTGAGACAGTGCTTAAGCTTCAGTCAGCTAACTTAGCAGGTAAACGTTGGTGCTTTACAATGCCTTCAATTTCAGTTTGCTGAATTTACTCCTTCTTTGTTTAGAAGTCTAGATTACCTTTTATGCATACATCTTATACAAACAAGCTCATACTTAAACTTAGACATTTGGGTTTTGGTTTCTAAACTGTACCATGTGAGTTATAGGACTATGCAAGTCATTTAGGGGGAACATCCCTTTTTTATGAATACCAATTTTTAAAATTGATTAAAAAACCTTACATAATCTATGCTCTGTAATGTACCATGTCAAAATAGCAAGTAACATGTATGCATTGGCTGCAATGTTAACAAGCATTCATTTTCCAACTTGCCCTGACTTACGATGGTGATTTGAGCACATGCAATAAAAGTGAATTTAAATCAGAAGGGCTTTCATTCTATAGTAGTTCTATGAAAACCATATTAGAAACGGTGTCCTATTTAAAAAAAGGAGGACAAAAAGGTAAAGAAAGAACATAGGCTTCTGTTCTGTGTCATCAAAGTGTACGACTACAGTATGTGTGTGTGTGTGGGTCAAAAAAAAAGAGGGAGGATGTAAAAAACTGCATTGCTACACTGATGAAGACGGGGAATGAATGAGGCTCTCATCAGAAAATCAGTTTAGACTACACTTTTCACTGGGCCATGGTTCAGGCCCTCCAGGTTACAGAGCAGGCAAGCCAGGGGTCTTGACATGAGCTTCATTGAAATGCATAGCTCAGAGAAAAGTGCATGCTAGTTTCTCGCCATCAGACAAAGCACAGAGCAAAAATGAAAGAAAGCATCGCTTGATCTATAGCAGGAATTATTGCACAAGAAGCCAACAGGCCTGCACTGTCAGTCAGGGTCTGCTGCAACAAATTTGATAGACATGTGCTATGAAACACGAGGGAGAAGTG